AAGTCGGTGTACGAGCGAATTCTTTGACACACAAAGCCATGCCTCGGACAAGACGGTATCCGCTCACCGTCATCACAGCAGCGACGATAAATGCAGTCACGTCTCCGCAAAGAATATCCCACTCCCTACTAGTCGGTGCTCTAGTGAGTTCTTCGACATAGAAAGCAATGCATCTAAGAAGACGGTATCTACTGCCCACCATCACAGTAGTAGTGATGATAAAGGCAGCCATGTTTCGGCAAAGAACATCCCACTCCCTGTTAGCCGCTGTACTAGCGAATTCTACGACACGCGAAGCCATGCTTCCGCTAGGAAGACGAATGTACCTGCTAGTGGCCATCACAGGAATGACGATCAACGCAGCCATATTTCGGCAAAGAGCGTCCCACTCCCTGCTAGTCGCTGCACTAGCGAGTTCGATGCGCAAAGCTCGACTAGAAAGGCGAGCTCATCGGCTACTTGTCCTCACAGTGGTGATGATAAACGCAGTCATGTCTCGGCCAGAAATGTCCCACTCCCTGCTAGTCAGGCGGGTAATAGCGAGTTTTTCGACACACAGAGTCATACCTCCGCTAGGAAGACAGACGTACCCGCTAGTCGTAACCATGATAGTGAGGATAAACGAAGCCGCGTTTCAGCAAGAGATGTGCCGCTCCCCTCTAGTCGGGTAGGTGCCAGCGGCGAGTTTTTCGATTCAGTCACGCACATATCCGCGAGGGAAACGGATGTATCTGCTAGAAAATCAGACGTTTCCACTGGTCGCCACCAGAACGATGATAAACGCAGCCGCGTTTCCGCACGAGACGTCCCGCTTCCCTCTAGCCGGGTAGGTACCAGCGAATTTTTCGATACGGTCAGCCATGCATCCACGATAAAGGCGCGTTCATCCGCGAGTCGTAAGGATATTGCCGGTGTGGGAGACTCACAAAGCCGTGTTTCTGCAAAGAATATACCCCTGCCTGCCAGCAGGGTAGGTAACCGCAATAGCCAGGTCTCGGCGCGAAACATTCCACTCCCTGCCAGTTGCGTCGGTACCAATTATCATAACGGCCCACCGAGCCATATTTCTGCGAAAAATGTTCCGCTACCTGGTAGTCATATTGGAAGCAGCCGCGCGAACTGGGATGACGACCTACGAAGCGTAGCACCGAGCGACAGCATTAGTTGCGTTGGAGCGAAGTAACGTCTGTCTTGGATATTGTATTGCCTTGGGCCACAGCTGTTTATTAATGTAAAGAAAGGAGCGTCTCACTATGTGAACTGATAGTGCACTAATTAAACGTCAACTAAAGACACTGTCTAATGACGAGATCATCTTTTGTTACGTGAACTTTATTTTAAATACCCAACCACGTACCTACCCAAGCTTAGTACGAGATCCACCCACACCCGCATTCCACCAAGTCCGATCCTCGGCCGGCGCGCTAAATTTCGACAACACATCTTCGACTCACACGTGCGAGTTGCCAAAGTCGAATTTTCATAGCGCGAACGGAACCAGCTACCTAGTTTGCCGCGCATAACAGAGCCGCGAGAGCTCAAACAGAGATGCCTTCCATAGAATTAGGCGAATCCATACCGCCCGATACAGCACACGTGAGTTACATGCTCCAAACCACTCATGAGCAACCTCGATTTCCGACAAGACAAATCTACTAACCCACATTACAGGCTGTTAGTGTCTCATTACCGACTTGGGCATCCAACGTTGGCTATGAGGAAGGCGCATCTTGGGTCCTCAGCCGAATGACTACTGGCTATCCTAGGTATGCATGTTCACGAATCAAACACGATCGGGGGGGACTGACCTTTTCATTCTCTATAGATTCTTCATACATAAGACTATTGCTGAGTTAGGCCGTGCAATTGCAACTAGCTATGGGAAACAAGACCAGCAAGCCATGCTCTTTTCTACACCAGAAGCAGCGGAACGTTGTTTAGACTTCATGCGACAGAGGGCTCCCGATACTCTTGCTATCCAGCTCCATTCGGTAGCATTTGAGCTCAACCTCTCTGAAAATACCTCTCCGGTTCTCGGCGGTCTGTCGTCAACTATTGCCGCGGCTTTGTTTCCCGCAGAAGCTTTTGGGCTTGCCAAGCAATACTGGCAGCACACTGGAGATGGAATTTCAAGTCGCCGCGCAGAGTTCTGTCATGACCTTCTGCGAGCCGGCATTCTAGTACCGAGCAACTCCAAAAATTCCATTCTCGAAACTACCTTGAAGCCCTCGCGAGGTCCTAAGCGGTACCAACGCACGAATTCGGTAGATGAAACCGCAGTTCCCGATGCCAAGGTCACCACCACGGCTTTCAACGACAACAAAGAAAGTTCTAGGTTTCTGGAAGAGAGGTTCGGTAGGAATCTGGACTTGACTCTGGCCGCAAAAGCGAAATCAGCAATTCGACGCAGGATTGCTGGGTCACTTATCAGCGAACTTGATTTGACAGCAGAGACAGTTACAGAGCCCTTGGTTTCGTCTGTTCGCGCCAACAATCTAAGCGAATCTGATATATACCTCTTTCCCGCAGGTATGAATGCAATCTTCAACGCGCATCGTGCATTGATGGCTGCCAGGGGTCAGCTTCAGAGCGTCAGTTTCGGGTTCCCTTACGTTGATACTTTGAAAATACTGCAAAAATTTGGTCCTGGCTGTATATTCTATGGCAATGGTTCTTCCTCGGATCTAGATGACCTCGAACATCGATTGGGGAAGGGGGAACATATTCTGGCCCTCTTCTGTGAGTTTCCTGGGAATCCTCTCTTGGCCAGCCCAGATTTGCGAAGAATCCGGGAACTCGCCAATGATTTCGATTTCGCGGTCGTTGTGGATGAAACTATTGGTACGTTTGCAAACATCAATGTTCTTCCATTCGCCGATATTGTGGTTAGCAGCCTCACCAAAATATTTTCTGGTGATTCTAATGTGATGGGGGGGAGCGCTGTCTTAAACCCCGGCAGCAAATACTACAAACTGCTGAAAACCGCAATGGAAACTGTGGTCGAAGATAACTATTGGCCGGAAGACATTATCTTCATGGAGAGGAACAGTCGAGACTTCCTTAACCGAGTGGGAAGGGTCAATGCGAATGCTGAGGCCATCTGCGACATTCTACGGGGCCACCCTCTTGTAAAAGACCTCCTCTACCCAAAGTTCAATTCGTCTCGGGATCACTATGAGCGCTGTCGTCTGCCGCATGGTGGGTTCGGTGGCTTGCTGTCTGTTGTCTTTCATCAACAGGTCAGCGCGCAAGCTTTTTATGACGAGATGGATATCGCGAAGGGGCCAAGCTTGGGCACAAACTTTACATTGTGCTCTCCGTATACCCTATTGGCTCACTACGGTGAGCTCCCTTGGGCGGCACAATTCGGTGTAGATCCGGACTTAGTACGTGTCAGTGTCGGACTGGAAGACAAAGATACCCTCAGTGACACATTTCGCAGGGCTCTCGAGGCCGCTGACAGAGCCACGAGCGCGAGTAGGTAGACAAAGGAACGATGCATTTAAGCATTACAAATAGCGCGAAATTCCACGTTGTGTGGTATTTTTGATCATTTCAACATCAATCGTAATCCCGGGTATAACCACCGTGTCTGTGCTATTAGAATTTCATAGTTTCATAATGACAACGCGAAGTTCGATTGGGACCTCCATGTGTAGGTTTTACTAGGATGAGACTGGTCTCTACGTCTTCTCTCGTCACATTACGATGCATTCTTGGTGCTTATAGCCAGGTCCATAATCTTCAATACCGCGCTCTGTTTCATTGGACCTTTGCTTTTCTTTGACCTCCTTGGGGAAGTACTTCTCCAAGTACCTCTCCAACCGGATATCGAGGTTGTCTGTCATTTATATGTTAGCAAAAAACAGCTCAATCGGTACAGATCAAGTGGAAAGCTCACCTGCAGATGCAGACATGACCACATCAGCTCTGCAGAGGGGACAATGCGTCTCCTTGCGTCTCTGTATCTTTATTATGCATCGGATGCAAAATACATGCTGGCAGTCAAGTCTCACGGGCCGATAAGCGATAGAAAAGCAGACTGGACAGAGGTAGTCGTTGATCTGCGGCACCACTGAGACTAGCTCCTGAGACATGGAAGCACACACGTCTTTAGCAATGCCACCAGCAAGAAGTCTATTGGAAAGAATGACTTTGGGAAAGGATTTGGAGACGCCAAGCGATGTCCGCTTATCAAACTCTGAAGCATGGTTGTTAGCCATACAGTGGAAGCAGCAAGTGGTATGGTTGAGTTAACCCACTTTTCAGAATCTTGGATACTGCAAGTTTGTTGAGTTCTTGGAACTGTAAATTCTTAAGCAGGCTAACGTTCAGTTGCAGAAACCTGGCGAAAGCCTGGCGACTTGATGGAATTTTGAAGTTGCGTGCTAGGTTGCGCTTCTCGACTTCATTCTGAAACCATTGGAGTTGTTTGAGGGCTCTTTGGCTGTTTCTTGCTCCATGGTCACACTCCTGGGTTGCAAAAAAGACGTTTGAATCTAAATACAGTTCGAATATCTCGCGCCAGCGTCCCAGGTCACTCTTTGAGAAGCGACTAGGCCGGGATACAGCAGAAACTTGTTTGGAGAGTTCGGTGATCTCCGTATTCAATTGCTTTTGTTCTGATGCTTGCAGTGCATCTAATTCACCGACGTCAGTTTGCAGCATGTCGAAAAACTCAGCGTCAAACACAAGCGGGACTTCGATGGTCTCGTAGTTGCCAGTGTCGCCATTGTTGGTCTCGATATCGGGTTTCGCGCTTGGGTCGGGTCGACTCGCTCGTAAATGGGCCAGCGCTTCACGTTCGTGGTCGTCTAGGATCTCGCTTGCTAGCTTCTCGAGGAAGCCTCTCGACGTTGGAGTTAAAGAGGCGTCAACCGCCACCCCGTCGCGTAAATGTACATTGACGGTTAGCTTGGGGCGCACAAAACTAGATCCCGACTCTAAGGTTCGGCCAAAGATTAGCGCTACGTAATCCATGCCAGTGAGTCCGTGGATTCTACCTCGTAGTTTATACTGGAGGGCAACGGGTGCCGTTTCTTCAGCACTTAGAAGAGCGCGTAACGTTTCCTGGTCCAGGCCCAAGTCTTGGAGTTCGCGTTGGACTTTCTTAAGGCATTTCTTCAGCTGACTGTAAGGGATAGCTCGCTCAACCCAATGACGTGGGAAATCTACTATTTGATTAGAAGCTGAGAGAATGGCCGACACACGCATGCGCGAATTTACCCTGACTGGCAAGATTCTGCTTAAAATCGTGTGCAAATTTCATCCTGACTAGATTGGCGTGGCTTGACCGCTCAACTTGCTAAGTTTCGTGCAATAATGCAATAATTGTCCTAGGACTCGGTTCTTCGTCTCGCATCTTGCACATTCAAAGTGGCGCAATTTCGTCGCGAGTTGGTCGTGACCGCGGCAAAGGAACATTCCGTGCCAATGTCCTAAATCGGCGTGGCGCTAATCACTCTGCACCTGCACGTCTTGCTTAGTATATTATTAGTACCTATGTACCTTAGTACTAACCTACTACCTCATGTTCAATCTGTAGGTAGGTAGGTAGGTACCTTACCCTATAAGCCCCAGCGGACTTCGGTGGATTATCAAGCCCGGCTTTTGCGCAGTTTTTCAACAGATTTATGTATTTCAAAGTACCACTTATTATTGCGATGGCGTTGCGGTTTGCGCGCTCCAGGATAAAATGTGCTTACCTGGAAAGGTGTGCAAGGTACTTTGCATAGGTAGAAGAAAGTGGTGCCGTTAATCATCCTTGCTTTCCTACATCAATACCAACTTTTTAGAAAGTTAGGATATAGGCACAGAAGCTACTAACAATAGCAATAGGCTATAGGATACTTCTATTCTTAAAGGGATTTAGAGAGTTTACCTTCTATTTCTACTATAATATAGTAGTATATTCTACCTTATATTAGTAAGGGCGTAAGCTACTATATTAATAGTAGTAGAGATTAATACTAAAAGATAATAAATTATATTATTTACTATATATAGTAGTATTTAGTTAATAAAATAGCTTTTATTAATAATAGTATTTTTATTAGTTTCTTTAAGATAAAAGGGACTAGGAATTACTTTAAATATAGAATTATAATATATATAGAAGGGATGGTTTTTATCTAGGTAGGTAGGGCTAGGGCTAGGGGTTAGCTAAGTTAACTACCTTACTATAGTTTTTCTAGCCCTTATATATTTATTAAGGTACTAGAAGGACTATAGAGTCTAATTAGCGTATATTAATAAATAAATCATCCTTACTTGCCTTATGTTTCTTATCAGTCTCGCGGGCGATAGCAAATGAGCTGCTCAAATTGTCGCAATGCAGTTGTAACGTTATTACGGACTCCTGCAATAGCAGTCACTCTAGGACTTCTAGGTAGGTCGTTTAAAGTATGACGCCAGCGGTTCATCCGAACGAGGACAACCTGTGCAACGGCAACTTAAGCAAATGAAAACGATGAATTCATAAGACGTCTGACTTATTGGGTTCAACAAACCAAGTTTACTTCACCTGCAACGGTGAAAGAATCACAGCGCTGAGAACTCTAGTGCGGGTGGAGATCCGAGGAGTCATATTCTCCTCCTCTCTTGAAAAACACCTGCTGGGTTGACAAAAAAGACCGGGAAATTGAAACAGCACAGATTACAACCTCCCAGTGTGCACTGCGACAAAGATTACAGGTTACTGGCAAAAAAATGGGTGCTTCTCAGTCTGCGTCACAAGATAATTTAGGCTCCAGCTCAACTACCACCAAAACATGTTACTACGAACTCATTGGTGTTGACCGCGACGCCAGCGAGACCGAGTAGGTTGAATTACTCTTCATGTAAACTATATGAGTTAATCGGCGATCCGCAGCATCAAGAAAGCCTATCGAAGGAGAGCATTGGAGCTACATCCAGATAGAAACTTCGGAGAGGTGGCTGCTGCAACTGAAAAATTTGCCGAGCTGCAGTCCGCATACGAAATACTGTCGGACCCCCACGAACGATCATGGTATGATTCTCATCGAGATGCTATCCTTGGTGGTCAAGACATTACCGGGGACGGAACAGAACCTACTTCGTTCAGGAACGTTCGAATCACCTCGGCGGAGGAAATCATGGGCCTCATTCGGAAATTCAGCCCTAATGTCCCATTCAACGATGATCCCAACGGCTTTTTCAGTATTGCTAGAGAGACATTTGAGCATCTAGCTCTGGAGGAAGAGGTCGCCGCAGAACAAGAGGATGTCGATGCGGTCGATTACGCCACCTTCGGTCAGGCAGAAGACACCTATGAAGAGGTTTCAAAGCCGTTCTACGCCTCTTGGTCAAGTTTTGCGACTAGAAAGTCATTCGCTTGGAAGGACAAGCACCGATTATCGGATGCGCCGGACAGGCAAACTCGAAGGTTCATGGAGAAGGCGAATAAGAAGTTACGCGAAGATGCGACGCGGGAGTTCAATGATGCGGTCAGATTTCTCGTGACATTTGTCAGGAAAAGAGACCCACGTTATATACCTAATACTCAAACTGAAGCCCAACGACAAGAATCAGCACGCGTGGCGGCCGCCGCGCAAGCTGCACGATCCCGTGCCGCAAACCAAGATCGTATGGCAGGCTACGAGCTCCCTGACTGGGCCACGTCCCGAGAAAACCGCTCAGACGAAGAAGAATTCTCCTTATCAGAGGCTGAGTCACAGGTAGAAATCCTGAGATGTGTGGTTTGTGATAAAGATTTCAAGAGCGAGAAGCAACTTGAAGCTCACGAGCGCAGTAAAAAACATCTGAAGGCTGTGCAACAATTGCGGTGGCAGATGAGAAAGGAGGGCGTCGAGTTACACCTGAGTGAGAACCTGCGTCAGGAAGGGGGTGGCAACGATACAACTTCTCTGAAAGACTGCAATACCTCCCCTGTTTGGGTCGATCATGTGCAAGAAGTACCAGACTCTCCAGTCTCAGGCCACAATGATATTGACATTGTTGACAAGTCAGCCCAGTCGTCTGGTCACTCGGACGAGGATGGCGACTACGCACCGAGAGACGAGGTCGTGAACCGTATAGTGGATGGCCGATCGAACGAAGCCAACCTTTCTGTACTGCCACACGAGTTGAATACCAACGATTTAACGGCCACTGCTTCCATCATATCCATGGCGTCGGGAGACCGCCCGAGGAAAGTCGGTAAAGCGAAGACGAAACGGGGGAAAAGGGCTGCGGCCGAACCAGCCGGCACAAGCTCAAATGTATGTTCCGTTAGGTGTATTGCAACCAGGGTCTTTGTATTAACGATATCTCTCGATAGCATATTTGTACTTTGTGTGCAGAGAAATTTGGCTCTCGCACGAAGCTTTTCACACATATTCGTGTCGAGGGGCATGCAGTGGTTTCTCCCTTCGAGACTACCAAGGTTGGGAAAGGGAAAAAGAACAAGTAGAAGATTGGCCAAGCACGCTACATTGGAGGGGTATGGCTTTTGGGGAGGGGGGGGCAAGTCGGTCGCGACGTTCCGTTCGGCGGCAGGTCGCTCATGGGAGGCATTGCTCGCAGGAATAGCAGCATCGGGCAAAGGACCAGTCTTGGGGTAGTAGATAATCTGTCTTTACACAATATATTGCGCCTATGGGTCGGTGCATTTCTGCGATATTCTCCCGCTGTACCAGACTATACTTCGTCCCCCGTGTCATCGTCACTAAGGATTTCAACTTCATCAATGGCGCCCTCTCTTCCTTCCGGTTTATCTTGAAGTCTGGGGTCGCAGTCCGCGACGTGAATTATGGCTTTTCCTTGTACGTATTTAATGCCGCGTCGCCATTCCTCCCACTCTTTCTCGCTCCTGATGATGAATCCAATCAGCATGCTGGGGTCCATCTCCTGGACATGAAGCCGTCTCAGCCGGGACGTGTGACAGCTGTCTATCTCTTCTGCGGTATAGTCATATGTGTCTTCTTTGTATGGCAGTGCCGCCCTTGTGTGGTGTGGATCGAGGTAGAATAGAAAATTCCCCTGGGATCCCACGAAATAGTGGGAGGATGAGGGCCGGCCACTGCGTTTCCATGGTTAGCATGAGTCCTTCGGGGCTAGTCTTCAGCGCGCGCATGTCATACCCTGCAATACCGGCAGATTGTGGCATTTGTAGTGCCGATATCAGCGCTTCCCAGTATACTTGGGTAATCTTGTCAATGCCAAGCCGGGTACTGATCAGGATGAGTGTGGGTTTGAAAATCCCGCCGTCGGATTTCGCCGTGGCCATGAAGCTATCTTCATACACATCTGGGCTGTCTGCGGTCATATATACTCGCATGTTCGGTTCGTACTTATCGGCGAGGGCCCTTTACGTATGCTGTGTTAGTATCTGCTTTATCCGTTTGGGTTCAGCGCGTACTTAATGCATTGTGACGTGGCTGATGGTCCGAACCACTCTCCAGGGTATTTGCCACACTTGGAGGAGCCGCAACTGACAAAGTTGTGGATGGAGTATGGCGCAGCTGGATCATCTGCGAACCTTCGCAGTATTTCAATCTCTTCCGTTTTGCGCTGGCCCCTGCGCCATTCTGTGTTCTCGCTATCAGCAGCTTGATATAGCATGGGGTGTTTTGCTAACCTCGGCCAAGATTGACGATGCCAATAGCGTTCGCTAATAGACTCTGTCCTGAACGAATCATGCAACCCCACCCGCTATCGGATGAAAATCCTCCTTGGTCGCCAAGTTGGTACTTGATTCGCATGGAGAGTGACATCGATGACGTGGCTTTTGGGTTCGCTGATCTGGGAATCGGTTTGAACTCGTTCCTGTATGTCATCCAGAATCTGGAGTCGAAATCCGTGACGAATTTTGGGGGCCAACCATTCCCGTCATCTGTTCCAGTTCGGCCACTGGACGAAAAGCTGCCTCCAGCTGATTCAGGTGGCGTATCGGGCGCGTTGTTCGGGGGGACAGCTACTGCCTTGGTTTGTTCGGGAGCCATCGGCGACATGGTTGTTGCATGTTCGCCCATGGTGCTGCTGTTTCGCTCCTGGCTACTTCCCCGTCGGTTTGGCTTGTTATGTAGCTTGTATGACTGTCCGAGGCACCATACTGGTTGGTCGAGTACCATGTCGTTTGATGGTTCTGGGTCCCAGAATAGCTGTACAATTTTCCGGTATCGACCGAGGTCTACGTTGGCCATCGTGGATTCCATCGCCTGGTATATGTTATGTGCGTGTTGTCCGCTCTTCGCTGACCGTGATATATGTTCGCACGTATGATGCGGGTCAGATGTCCAGCTGTTTAGGTAGGTACACACTAGTAGGTGGTATATATTATGGGTCACCCCGTGACACTACCAAGTTAGTAAGGGAGGTATTGGAAGATACCGTACCGTTGATAACTAATAGAACAGCACAACATGTTAAACCACAACAGATATCCGTGAGCCATGGAACTCACGAACTAAACGCACAGTCAAATCCAACACCACACTGAGACGCATTACTGCACGAATCAACCACCAAAGCTGGCGTCATCCGGAACCCTGCAACTGCTTACAGGGTAGTTACGCAACAGTGTCTCTTTTCGCTCGGCCACAGCACCGCCCCACCAGCAGCAAACACTTTTCTACACTCGTACATTGTCGTTACTCGTACACACGAATTGGGAGGGAACCTCGATTCTTCACCTGGCCACCTGTACCGTGGGAAGTGATGCGCAAAAACCTAAGCTACGAAGCGAAGGATGGCGAAAAAGAGCAAGAACAAACCGAAAGGAGGCACAAGCCCAGCTGTCCAGAGAGCCACAAAATCGCACCAGAACCAACGTCCCGCGAAGCCATTTTCTGGCTCGAACAGTAAATCACACACAAGCCACAACTGGTACCAGACAAGCTAACCACGCCACACCCTAGATTGGTTGACGCTCGCCGATGAAGCACGGCAGACTGGTCAACATGACCACTCATTATGGAGCCAGGCAACAAAACTCCGGTCGATGCCTATCTCATTCATAAGTGCAGGTATCAGCGAACCACTCAAGGTACACGAACAAAATGAACCAGACGAGGACCGAGCCGAAACTGCTACGCCAAACCCCAACAGAACACCGAATACGACAGAAGAAACAAACGGCCCCCAAAGCGCGAAAACACACAACGAAGGAGCTACAAGTAGAGACACTGTGCCGACCAGCGGGGCAACCGAGCTGGATGGTAGTATCTTCTACTATGATACTGGCCGTGGCTCACCGAAATCGCACCAGGAGGAGGGCAAAGGAGTTACGCCGCACACGCCGAGAGAAGTCGAACCCGACGCAGAGAAAAGCGACAGCGAGGGTGATATCATATTATTCAAAGGCAGACGGAACGTGTTCCACAAGAATAAGGACAATATCGACATGGATAACATCCGCACGGAAATAAAAGCCGTCGAGCAAGAGATGAAGGAGACCACACGCGAGAAGACCGCGAAAAAAAAAAATATGCGTGGAAGGAGAGGTGGGAGGCAAGCGAAAGCCAAACGAGCCGCCATAGACTCTGCCATAGACTCTGCAGATGAAGAAGATGACGATGGAATGCTGGCCGACTACATTGCGAACATGCGCGACACTGGCGAGATCGACGAAGTGTTACAGACCTCAGCGGCACTGAAAGAGCCGGAGGACCAGAGCGAAAACAGTTCTAATTCCAGCGACGAAAGAAACGCAGAGGAGCTTTCTGTTGAAGCCATCCTGGCAGCGCGGCTGGATCAGCGGACTTCGAACTGGGCCTCAGGAGAAAGCGGCATAGACTATAATGATTTCGATCTCATGGACCGGGATCGATCAAGTATTCGGCGCAACTCAGGCAAAGGCGCAGGGCAGAAACTAGATCTCAGATTCGCCGATATTGACTCGGAGACTGAAGGTAGGCTGCAAGCGGCATGGCAGAGTGACCGCCTTAGAAAAGCCGACCGGAAGAAGGAGCGCGAGCAACTCCGTGTACTGAATCTCATCGGAAAGAAAGCCGAAAAGAGCGATGTCGATGACATGAGTATCAAGTATCCCCAAGGCATGAGCCTGGAGCAGGTCGCTGACGAGCTAAAGAGGTTCTTGCTGAGCATTGACCACAGGTAAGACCCGACGCTCTCGTTGAACATGACATGCACTCACATACCGTCATAGTATTTGCCTGCCGCCAATGGACAAGCACGCTAGGAAGATGATACACGAGCTGGCCAACAAGTTTAACGTGAAATCCAAATCTATCGGCAAAGCTGACCAACGCCGACCAACACTGTTCCGCACAAAGCGCACGCTACGGTTTGACGGTGAAGCCTTTGACTTGTCTGTCAGACGAATCCATCGCCGATATTTCCCCCGACTCGAATACAAAGGCAAAAGCTCGCAGGGGCAATTTTCACGCAATGGTTATGCTGAAGCAAGCTACCGTGATGGTGAAATTGTCGGTGCTTCTGCCCCAGAGTTGAGCACAGACAATCGCGGCAGAACCATGCTAGAGAAAATGGGATGGAGTACTGGAACGGCGCTTGGCTCAGAAGACAACAAGGGAATACTTCTTCCTGTGACGCAGACCATGAAGAGATCGAAGGCGGGATTGGGCTAACAGTCGATATCACTTGAGTTTTCAGAAGTTAGTGATCATGTGCACGAATTCATTGCCTCGAGACCCTATTCTCGAAATTTATTGTACAACCGCGAAACCCCGTTAACCGTGAAGACATTGCCCCCAATAAAGCAAACCATCCGTAACGCATTAAGAAACCCAATGGCAGGACCATCTCCAGCCCGCAGATTCTCAAAACATGAGACCTGATGCCACGCATAAAATAAAACTCAAATGACACCGAAACAGAAAACCAGCAATCGCACCCCACTCACGATTTATTTCGTGGAGGAGATGAACTTGGTGACGGCCTTGGTGCCCTCGGAGACGGCGTGCTTGGCCAGTTCACCGGGCAGGATCAGACGGACAGAGGTCTGAATTTCGCGCGAGGAGATGGTAGACTTCTTGTTGTAGGCAGCAAGCTTAGAGGCCTCGGTGGCGACCCGCTCGAAGATATCTAGAAAAAATATTAGAATGCGCATTAATTTGGCAGACAAAGAAGCGCTTACCGTTGACAAACGAGTTCAGAATAGACATGGCACGGTTGGAGATACCAGTGTCAGGGTGGACCTGCTTGAGGACTAGAAGCAGTCAGTAAACGCGTCCCGAACGCGACTTGATGCGCCTGAAGAAAACATACCCTTGTAGATGTAAGAGCTGTAAGTCTCCTTGCGGCTCTTGGAGCGCTTCTTCTTTTCGCCAGAAGCAGCAGTCTTCTTGCCGGCATCCTTCTTCTCCGGGGCCTTGGAGGCAGTGGCGGGAGCCTTGGAGGCGGGCTTCTTGTCGGCAGCCTTGGGGGGCATTTTGATGGTACGAGGCAGGGGAGAAAACTGAAGTATCGGAAGTTGAGCGAGTTGTTTGATTGTGGTCAAAGACACGAGTTTGGCAGCGGATGATGGCAAGAGTTGATGGCGGAGGGAGAACGGTTGGGGGGCGGGCTGGGTTTTTGTAGCTGGGTGACGCGCAGTGGTGCCGGTTTACTGATTGCTCTGGAGAGGTGGTCAGTGAGATGGGCGCAGGCGCTGAAGTGATCTAGCTAAATCAGGTGGCTAGGCTAGCTGGCCACTAAAATATGGTTGGCTGAAACGATCGTTGAGACCCACCGTCTGCTGCTTGCTCTGATGCCGCGTTCTGGCTGGTGATTTCAAGAGCCAGCACCCCTGTCGCGCGTTTTTGTGTTTTTTTTTTTGGACCTATTTTCTGATTGGGCCATGCCTCCTCCATCTGCACCACCACATTCTCCCACCGGCCTCACACCCGCGTTAACTAAACCTTTTGATGGAGACGGACATTCAGGAGCGATCGCGTCCCATCGCCGTTAGATCGGGGTTGCATTTGTGTGAATCAATATGCATTTCGTCTTGCTGCACGCAGTTGGGCGAGCTGCCCAGTGACGTTTGAGTCGGGTTGAGCTCGTGTTAAGGGGTCAGGGCTGCACATAATTAACAGACTGACTCCATATCCACGGTTTATACTAGAGACTTTGACTATTAATACCTACCTAGTAGGTAGGTACCTCGAGCTTACCTACAGTTATCGGCGCCTGTAGTACGGAATGTCTCTGCCGTATCTGTGTACTCGCGTATTTACATCCTTATATTGCGTCTTTCATTTGAAGTAGTCCTTATTAATTGAATATGTATTATGACGATTCATAAGGCTACCTACTCATGTGTTGACTTATCGTACAGCTCTGTTGCCGAGTAAGAGCCAGACAGAGCCAGCACTTCGTCTCTCTCCACGGCCTGGCGTGCAACCACGAAAAATCGGTCAAAAAGGTACAAGAAAGGAAGGAACATCAGGAAAAATGTCGATTAACTGAGGCTGACTTGAAACATATTTCTTCCATGGTACCGCGTCGAGCTCTGGGTGATCTGGCGGATGTCAGCGTCGGGAAGACATTGAATAACAACAAGCAGTTGTACAGATGCCGAGGGCGAGAAATTGACAAGAGTGCTTGCGTGCGGGGGGAGAGGCCGCTTAATTTATTCGCCAGACCGTGGAGCGGATTGTTATTTATTTTCCACGCTTGTGTTCCTGTTTGGGACTAGCGCATGCGTCGCGAAGTGGCTACCTTTTTTGGCCGCTGGTGATCCCAGATCACGTAGCTGACGCGCCGAAAAGTACTTAACCTCTGCACCCCCCTCCAACGTGCTGCACACAGCCAAATATCTTCTCTGCAACTCCTCATCCCACGGCACCCTACATACTGTCGCCTTGCTCGACCAATTTACTCTCATCTCTCATTTTTCATAAATCCTCTATCCAAATCAACCAAAATGACCGGCGGTGGAAAATCTGGTGGCAAGGCCTCTGGCTCCAAGAACGCCCAATCGTACGTGTTTAACCCATGATTTCGCGCCCGTTCTCCGTTGCTGATCATCGATATTAGTCGTTCGTCCAAGGCTGGTCTGGCCTTTCCTGTCGGCCGTGTTCATCGTCTCCTCCGCAAGGGTAACTATGCTCAGCGTGTCGGTGCTGGCGCTCCCGTCTACCTCGCTGCTGTTCTCGAGTATCTTGCTGCCGAAATCCTCGAGCTTGCCGGCAACGCCGCTCGTGACAACAAGAAGACACGTATCATTCCTCGTCATCTCCAGCTTGCCATCCGAAACGATGAAGAGCTGAACAAGCTACTGGGACACGTCACCATCGCACAGGGTGGTGTTCTGCCCAACATCCACCAAAGTAAGTTCGCAGCCCGTCGCCTACTAAAGCCATTCCCGACGCTAATGACCTTCAGACCTTCTGCCCCAGAAGACTGGCAAGGGAAAGAGCGGCAAGAACGCCAGCCAAGAACTGTAAATGGTTTAATTTTTGCTTTCTTGCGATGGTTCGTTTGGGTTGCAATGACAGGGGTCACGGTTCCGGGTTTTGGTTTTGGTTGTTTTTTGCGCTCAGGGTTGTACAATAATCCCCAAGGCTATGGTCATGAATGAGATTACACATATTCTAAAAGACTTGGGTGCTGTCAATTCGCTTCCTCGTGACGTGGCGCCCTGTACATATTGCGCGACCGATGCAGCCGGCTGCGTATTCCAACCCACCCACAAAGTTGGCTATGTACCTATCTAGGTGTTTGTAAGGCCCATCATTTGGAATGGCGAGGAACACGAGTTCTCTATACGCAGATTGTGGAATTTAATATCGCAACTTTACATTTGGCAGCCGTTGAGGCTTTCCACTACTATGTACTCCTCCAAAATCCAATGGTAATGCCCCAGATAGTGCACTGCGATTAATGCCCATTTGCCGGGTGCGGTGGCGCTGCAGTAGAGTCGTTAGTGAACTTCAGAACGAAATGCTTTGCGAAGCATAGACACTTACGTTCCAAAACCGGGGATGGCAGGTTTCTCTCGTATTTCGATCCTGCAACCCGGTTAATAAAACCAGTTAATGGTTCCCTTCTTGCGAGGCGTCCTCGGTAGGCGGCCGTGGAACGTGTGCGTACCTCCAGGGGCAGTCGGCGGGACATATGGATCGGGATGTTTCCAGCCGCTTAGTAGTTTCTCAGTTTCGGAGAGTAGGGCCTGCGAAACGTTAGACTCGGATAGCTAGTCAAAACGGATAAACGCGACGGACTCTTTGTTGTCTAGGGTCGGTGACATGGCGATTCGCCTCGAACAAGGATCGAATATACAGAGCTTGACCTCGCCACAGTTGGCGTTGTACAGCCCAGTCCAGGGCAAGCCGCAGTGACCTGCGATACAAGGACCTGTTTTGAGAGAGCCATGCTTGTTAGACATATATCACCCGTCGCTAAAAATGCCGGAGCTAGGTACGAACAGAGCGGCCGGTCGCGTGGACATGCTGTTGGTTCTCCGAGTTGGGTAGTTTGGAGGCTGATAGGACGCGGTCGTGTGGATTTGCAAGATGTTTGAACGTGTGATTGGGTCTTTGGTACATGAATTGACTGCTCGAGGAATGCTTGATTGTGCACTGTAGCTCTGGCCAACTTTTGATGATAATGGTTGCGAGTTTTTAGTGGTCAACGTAAGTCGCCGCCTTGTGGCCTGGCGGCTGTTCTTAGGCATAATTGTTATGCGCCACATTAGGTACCTGTTGAGCCACAGCAGGCAGAGGCCAAAGGAGATAAGAACTGACAAGGCAACTATACATAATTAAGTGTGCATGTGTGGATAAAGCCATTGTATTAGTTACATACCAAGAGAATCACAGTGCACCGTAAAACACCGTAAAATGCCTTCGATAGAGCTGTTTCCCTGGCATCTACCTTTGCCAAGGATTTACGGATATGGGATATGGCTCATATGGAGCCACTGTTATTCACGTGACATCCCGTTTTCCCCCAAGCGCAAAGCTAGTTAGGAGGCCTATGCCTCTTACACTCACTCAACAGGTCTGTCAGGAACGGGCATACATCTGCAATCATGCTGTCGCGTCGATTGACAACCGCGGTGCGAATGGCGCCCATGTGCCAGGTCCGCCAGCGCCGTGCTATGCAACCAATTGCCGTTATGCTCCCCAGCATGATGCAGACGGTGCGCAGCTATGCAGACAAAATTGTGCAAGTTCCCCAAATGGCAGAGTCAATCTCCGAGGGTACCCTGAAACAGTTTACCAAGAGCATTGGCGACTATGTCGAACTAGATGAGGAGATTGCGACTATCGAGACGGACAAGGTAACAATATTTTCCCTCCGAGCGAACCGCATTTCCATCTAACGATGATCTCAGATTGATGTCGCCGTCAACGCTACTGAGTCTGGCACCATCAAGGAGTTCTTCGTGAGCGAAGAAGACACGGTCACCGTCGGACAGGATCTTGTCCGCATTGAGCTGGGTGGCTCCCCGGCTCCCAACAACGAGCCCGTACCGAGAAACAAGGACCAGGCGAAGCCGGCAGCCGAGCCGGAGTCGTCCCAGCAGGAGAAGCAGCCCGAGTCGAAACAAGAAACCAAGCAGGAGACGAAACACCAGGCAGAGAGTGCCCCCCAAGACGCAGCAAAGCGGCCTGTGGTCGAGAAGAAGGAAGCTGCACCGACTGCTACCCAGGCTTCCAGTTCTGGGCAGAGTCTCGGCACCCGGGACGAACGTCGTGTATGTGCAAGTTTGTGTGGTAGTGGGCGTGGAGACCGAGTTTCTAATCCAATTGGCAGGTTAAAATGAACCGTATGCGCTTGCGCATTGCAGAACGCCTGAAGCAATCCCAAAACACGGCCGCTTCGCTTACGACTTTCAACGAAGTTGACATGTCCAATATCATGGATTTCCGCAAGCTTTACAAGGATGATGTGTTGAAGAAGACGGGTGTCAAGCTTGGTTTCATGAGTGTGTTTGCTCGTGCATCAGTTCTTGCTATGCGCGACTTACCTGCCGTTAATGCCTCGATTGAGGGGCCTAACGGCGGTGACACTATTGTTTATCGTGACTACGTCGACATCAGCGTCGCAGTTGCTACTGAAAAGGGTCTCGTCACACCGGTTGTCCGCAATGTCGAATCTATGGACATGATCGGTGTGGAGAGCTCCATTGCTGATATGGGCAAGAAGGTTAGTGCTGCGCTCGAGCTAACTCTTGCAATCATGTCACAATTAACAATTTCGGGAACAGGCTCGTGACGGCAAGCTCACGATCGAAGACATGGCCGGCGGGACATTCACGATAAGTAATGGCGGTGTCTTTGGTTCCCTCATGGGAACCCCCATCATCAACCTACCCCAGACTGCTGTTCTCGGTTTGCATGCCATCAAGGAACGCCCTGTGGCAGTCAACGGCAAGGTTGAAATTCGACCAATGATGTACCTTGCACTGACCTACGACCACCGCCTCCTTGATGGTCGCGAAGCTGTACAATTCCTTGTCAAAGTCAAGGAGTACATTGAAGATCCTCGCCGCATGCTGCTGTAAAATCCTCTGCCTTTACCAAATCTCTAGAAGTAATTCAACCTTAGATTCCTAGTTACATGTACAATAAACTCTCTGGCAATTCGTTTGACCCGACCAACGTCCACCCTCTAACATGAATGCAACAGCCCAAGGATGCAGTATACATACCCATGAGCACCCTAAGCCTTGGGGACTGGATGGCTGGGCGTTGGTTGCTGTAATAGCGGCTAAATCTCAATAGTGGCAACAATAGGGGTCATTTCGCCTCCACTAACGTTGGCGTATAGGGCCTGTTGGCGTATAGGGCCTGTCTGTCTGTAGTGCATAATATATTTTAACATGCACACTTGCGCACACTATAGAAGAGTCCCTGCGTCCCCTGGATTAGCCAAGACTCGGCAATGAGAAAATATGCCAATGGTATATTCTATTTCCATAGAAAATCAAGTAGGAGCCTGATAACTAGTTATTCCATGTCCGTCCCTAGGTTAAAAAAAACCGTAAGTTTATTTCTAGGGGGGGAGGTTTTAATTTATCCTGCTTATACCATGTAAGTATCCGTCGCAAGATTTCTATCTACATGGTGTCGCGGCTTTTTTTTTTTTCGCCCACGTAGGCCTAGTCAGCGCCGCAGGTGGAAGAAAAAAAAAAAGAAGGCAGCCGGGTTCCAGCGACTAGTTGACGTATTATATTAATGTCCTGACTTATATATTATATGCAAATTATTTACAGCCTCTCAAATTATATTCGGACATCTAGGTGAACTATGAAAAGCCAGCTTTTCTTTATAGGAACTTGGGAAGGAACCCCAATTTTAGTAGTGCTCTTCTTACGTGACACGGCCTTTGATGTATTTATTTTGTTCCTAGACATAAGCTATGCCCGAAAGACTAATAAAAAAACACTACTTACTCGACTCATGACGCGACTGCGGCGTTAGGACCAATGATTACTACATTACTGTCCATTCCATGCATCTTGATTCATAGTGGCATCCTGATCTGGGATGTGCAAAGCAACACTGCCATTACTTGGCTGGTATCCATACCTGCGTTGCGCGCCCCCAGTTGGACTGTTGGGCTTCCACCAGTTCACAGCTGCTGTCCCTGTTATCCGAAGTAGTCCAACTATAACAACCTGCAAAATGGTACGCAGCAATATAAATATGGCTTTTGGCAGTAAACCGGCCTGTGCCGACCCCGAAGCATCTGGGGTTGCCTCTGTTGACGAGGGAAGAAGCTCCTTTCGGCCAAGTCGTAGCCGTGGTGCTTGCTGCGAAGTTCCGTATGGCGTCGCACCTGAAGTCGACACATTCTTCCCGAGGACCACTTCCACTTCTGCAAGAGTTTTGCCAGCCGTTATTATATCCCAGCGGCTCAGCAGCTCTTGTGACTGCATGCTGCCCCTGGCTCTTTGGATCAAACCCTCTAATTCGGCATCATGCCCGCTTGACGCAATGGTATACCGACGTGCATCCTTCTCCTGCATCAGTTCGTTTTTGAACCATGGCCCCATGTCAGTACAATATTCGCTGCCATTTGCCAATACTATGCTTTCAGAGGAGCTGTGGCTCTTGGCTAGGCTTGAAGTGACTTCTGTGCAACTCTGTTGGTGAGTCGTCCTAGATAGATTTTCAAGCGACATACCCCCTGGGCTTGTCTCATCTTCAGCGGTGTACGACATATTTTCTGCAGTTATCGCCGACCCTTCGATGAGCGTGAATGATCTATGACCTTGGTCATCCCGTTGTACTGTTTCCTTCGAATGGTGGCCTTGATGCTCTGGCATCGCATCTCTGGCCAAGCCACCCTGGAGTAGTAGGTGGCTTTCGCCGCTCGGGTTTCCCAGTTCCCTCGCTAGAATGGGCTCTGAGGGATAACTGCGTAGTGGTTTCCACGGTCGTCGTTGTTTCGCAGGCGGAGAGTCTGGAGGGAGTAATAAGATTGGCACAGACTCCTTAAAAGGGCATGGAGTCTTATCCAGCAGCAGAACGGACTCGAGACAGTCGCGAAGGCTACTACCAGGCGCCTGCGGGGAAGCAAGCTCTATTCGCCAATAGCTCGGAGGCCGTATCTGTAAAATGAATTTGCTGCCGTCCTCCTCCATGCACCAGCATTGGCTTTTGGGGAACATTGGCTGTAAGGCATTCCCACAGCTCAAGAAAGCCACAGAGCCTGGAGCTCGATAAAGCTTGAGTGAGCCTAATCATGAGCTGTTGTTAGAGTGCCTAGATAGGGATAGGAATAAGATTTTACAACTAACCAATTGCGATTGTTCTCTCGAAATGGGATTGCCATGGCCCGATAGGATCTCGGTTGCTGCTAACCAAACTGAACGTCTGGTCGCTGAGCGCGACAAGAGAGATCACCTTGGCGTCCGCGTGATGGAATAGAGCATGATTGTCTCCGTCACACTTTTCTCCAGAATGCGGTGTCCTGTGGAGCGGTTGTAGCAGCATTGGCGCGGTTGCGACTCGCCTTTGCAGGAGCCGAGGTTGGCTACACGGCTCCATGATGCTGCCTCTGAATGCCCCTCCAGGCAAGGAGTTTGGTGCTCTTCATAGACAGCCGAAAATAAACACAAGCCAGCCGATGGATGTTACGGCGCACGGTCTAAATAAAGCCACTAGTGATACTCATGAGGTAATGGCCAATTCCCCAATCAACAGAAGAGGGACACAAACAGCCAAACTATCAATGACGACCGAATGTTGTCTTATTATATGGCAAGGTCTCTCACATTCTTAGTCATCTGTATGGTGCTTTGGAACGGAAACAACAGGTCTGCAAAGCACATGTAGCTTTCGAAAAGCGGTCTTGTTAGAGTCAATTGCCAAAATCCTCATTTATAATATATAATAACATGCATTCTCTGGATATATGTCACTTGCTAGGGTGCTCTAGAGATGCATATTGTAAGTTGCTGCCGGCCAGTATCGCTGATGCAGTGCGGTTAATATTTGCTCTTCAAAAATATTTGCTCTTCAAAATATTTGCTCTTCTAGTACCATGCCAGCTACTAAGGTGTGGATCCCGCTTTTGCTGTTCACACTAGCACTACGACACACCTCTGAGAGCTTCTTACCTTCACCAACATCGCCTTCCCTCCTCGCAAGGTGCCTCCCTCCTCGCAAGGTGCCTCTATTATACTGACAACTGGACCCGAGATAGCGGAATGATTGCAAATATATCCAAGCAATGGAGAAATACCCAAATTCACTGGACAGCGTCTTGCGCCCTCTTCCGAAACGGTCTCCAAGATCCCCGCCGCTCTTGGACCTGTCCAACTTCGACTTAAACGCCATTCTTCGGGGCATGCAACTCACCCTAGTTGGCGGTACGTCCCATGAAACGTCGCTTGAAAAGGGGTGGCAAGCTCTGCAATTGAGGGTTTCATTTACTAATGTATTGGAGTCAGCTCACCGGGCACTTCAGAACCCAGCCATGTTCACTAGCGACCACTACAAGCACGCGGCGTACGCCGTGGCCCTTGGCATTGCAATACGCCTCATCGTTTCCATTCCAGTATGTTTATACCCGATGAGTCTCTCTAGACCTCATCTCACGCACTATCAACTAGATTGCCTTAGTGAGATTCGTCATTTGGCTACTTTCTTACTTTCTTTCTCTGGAATCGGCAACATGGGACGACTCGCTTCTCAATGGCCTCGATTTCGTGGCGGAATACGTATTGCAAATCCCGTTCTTTCTCATGGTGCTCATGCGGTACATAGTACCGACTCTAGATAATCTGTACGCTCCAACTTGACTTTTCCTTGAGTTAAGGCGCTAACCAGATAGGTTTATGCAATCCTTACATTGGGTTGATTTGACGTACACGCGGAAGCACAAGAAAGATAATGATCAAGGCCAGCTCCGCTGTCTCTATTATCCAAATTTTAGCCAATACGGAGGGCCTACCTCTGTGAATTCCCAGAAGTCTAGTACTTGGACCGCGGTCTATGCTTTTCTGAGCAGGTTCGGTCGCAAAGCTTTGCTTTCGCTGGCAATTTTTTCACTTTCCCATATTCCAGGGATTGGTCAATTCGTGCTGCCAGCTGCCAGCTTCTACACTTTTAAAAAAGCTGTTGGAACAGGCCCTGCAATTGTCATATTCGGCATTGGCATATTTTTGCCACGCAGATATCTCGTCATCTTTTTACAGACGTATTTCTCCTCTCGGAGTTTAATGCGTGAGCTTTTAGTGCCGTATTTCTCCCGCGTGCATTTCACCAAAGATGAAAAGCGGAACTGGTTCAGAAACCGCGAAGGTGTCTTATTTGGCTTTGGACTTGGCTTTTATGTCCTCACGCGTGTTCCCCTTGTTGGAGTGTTGATATACGGAATTGCTGAGGCGTCTACGGCATATCTAATAACCAAAATCACTGACCCACCACCACCAGTATCAGAAGCCCGACAGTACGCCCAGAGTCAGCAGGTATGGAGGAACAAGCACGAAATACTGAGCCTCTCGTTGGCAAACTTGGACAGTCTGCAGACTCATCTATCTCAGGGTTAGAGCAGTTTAGTATTTAGATATATCGATCCTACCAATCCTCGATCACTGAGTAATTTTCATGTCCAGTATCATGCGAGTGCCGCCTCGCAGCACTATCTCCCTGCCCAATAAACTCACAGCCTCGCATGTTGCACTTGCGTAGAATAGCATCTGTCTGGGTATCAACAATTTCGCTCAGCTGAGTGTGACCTGTTTCTTCTGCATGCCGCTGGCCCTCGGCTTGCCCTGAGCCGATCCAACCACAACCGTCAACGTCACACTTCAAGACAAGCCCATCCATGTTTGTAAAATAATGAGCGCCATGGAGCTTTCCAACCAACTCCGCAGCTTTGGTAAGAACTTCCTCGTCCTCTACTGGCCATGTAGTCCGGTCCATCTCGGGTGGTAGCATAGCGTCAGTGTATGGGTATTCAGAATAACTGAAGGCGATGCGGTCGTAGTGGATGCCGGAATAGACCAGAATGCACTGGTCGCGCTTGCCTTCTCCAAATGAGATAATATTCTGCGTCTGTAGCTGGTCAGATACTTCTTCTCTTCCTACATATAAGCGGGGGTACGAGCCTCCACATCGTATGTACAGATCTTTATGTCAAATATGGAAGATAAAATGCTTAACTCTATGCCACCTCCCCATCGGTCGGGGTCCGTAATGGCCTGGCAATACTGCTGGGGAGGGACTCCAAGGATGGCTTCGGAATACACATCTGCATGTTCTTGGATATAATCGGCCATCATTTGCCGCAGCTTCGATGGTAGCACTTGCTGCGGCAGAGCACCGCCAAACGCTGTGAAGAGGCAGCTATTATCGCTTGGCATTATCCGAAGTACTGCGGTAAGTTAGCAACACTTCACTACTACTTGTGCATCTCAGACCTACAAAGAGTTCCATCCCTAGCGCTCCAAGGCACCTTGACGTCATGGGATCCCATTTTCTGACTTCGCTCACTCTCCGGTCGAAGACTTCGCTCCGCACTGATAGATTGTCTTGATGAAGAGCGGCGCTCGTTGTGTGGCACAAGGGTCAGCATCTCTCCGTGAAGGCCAAGATCTCTCGCTGTTTGGTCCGTTCTGTTCATATCAAGAGCTTTCATTGCATTAGGTGGCCCAAATTTGATACCGAAATTGGTAAGAAGAGTTTTAGCTGTCAGCTCTTTGACTACGTCTCCCAATGTAGCATCATCCCCGATAGTGATGATACCAGTTCCACCTGGCCACTTATAGCGAGCCCTCATGTCGACTCAGCAGGATCGTATACAAGCGAAGGTTAGGTACGAAAAGTTGCAGTTATGTGTCTATGTGGCAATCAGTCTGACGAACAAAGCTAGGCTCTCAGCGCGTATAAATATATCTTGAGCCGATACATAGATCGCAATCGATATACGAATCACTTACCGAAGTATTTTGCATTTCAAAGAATACTACAAAGCGGCAAGGTGCTTTTTGCTTGGAAGACATTGGTGCAGAGCAAAAGAAGCTACCTGGAAGGTGGTGGTTACACGTTACATAAGCGGCGTTCTGTGGCAGCGCTTGCACCGCTTGCAAATTTCCCTCCGAGCGCGTGGTCAGCTTCAGCCACGCGACGTACGTATCTATCATCACACGCATCTATCGCCCCCCCCCCCCCCTTCCACCAGTTCTCTCCTACATAGCGCGATCCTGCTTTTATCGGTCAAGCTATCCGAATGTCTGGCAGGCGCGGCTTCGCGCTTGCGCGGCACCAATCCGCGACACCACGCAGCGACGAGGATGTGGAAATGGCAAACAACAGCACGGACGAGGTTGAGAGTGATGCGGAGGGAGAAATGGTCATTGATGGGCGCGAGGACTTGCATGAAACGATTGATCGTCTGTCCACGCTCTTGTGCAATATGTCGGAAGAGTAAGATCAATGCACAAGGTGCTTGAACTACAGCTAACGAGCTATCAGTGGCGAAGAGCTTGCCGCAGGCTTCCAGCGCATTCCGAACCGACGAACCGTTCCGGATTATTTCGAGATTATATCTGATCCAGTGGCTTTCAGTACTGTCAGGGTATGCACAGTACAGCAATTAATACGAGCTCGACTCTGACGGCGGACAGGGTAAAATCCAAAAAAAGCAATACGCGAGTTTTCAGGAATTCGTCAAAGACGTGTCACAGATATTCCACAATGCTCAGGTCTACAATCGTCCATCGGCCCCCATCTTCGGCGCCGCGATCAAACTGCAAGGAATATTCCGGCAAGAGCTAGACAAGCTTGTCCAGTCTTCGCAAATCAGCAAAGAGGAGGCCTCCTTACCTGATCTCGGGGAGCTACCACCTGTGGAGGAATCCCCAGCTCGAGATTCCGAGGCTGTGATTTCGGACGACGATGACGACGACGACGACGACGAAGAGGAAGAAGAAGAAGAGGCAGAAGAGGACGACGATGACGATGATGAATATGGCACTGGTGTTGGTGGCAGGCGTGTCAAACGCCGGCTACAACAGCCACCTTCTAAAAATCGTGTTAATGGTGACATGGATGACGACTTACACAAAGGAAGAGGTCGCCCTCCAATGGTCCTCACACCTGTTGAGGCCCGTATCTCGTCGATTCTCAAGGGCCTTCGACGGTTCAAGGCCAGCAGTGGTGCCTTGCTCGTCACTCCATTCGAGAGATTGCCTGACAGAGCAGCGCTTCCGGACTATTTTCAAACAATTACGAACCCGATTGCGCTGGACAACATAAAGAAGAAAGCCAAACGCAAGAAGTACAGCAGTGTTGATAAGTTCCTTGAGGATATGAATTTGATGTTTGAGAACGCAAAATCATACAATGAAGATCAAAGCGAGCTTTATAAAGCTGCTGCCGAATTACAAAGGGAAACGCTTGCCTTAGCCGAGCAAGAAAACGCGAAGTCAGATGACGAGTTTCGTGATGAGGACGGGAAACTACCAGTGGCTTACGTTGAGGCTCATGGAAATATTTGGAGAGTTGGTGAGCGGTCCGCATTCATGTACGCAAAACTTCATCTATTGACAATATGCAGGCGACTGGGTACATATTCGCAACCCAAATGATCTCGCAAAACCGACCGTAGGCCAAATCTTTCGCATGTGGCAAGATCGCGAAGGAGAAAAATGGATCAATGCATGCTGGTACTATCGACCTGAGCAAACAGTCCACCGCTTTGAGAAGCATTTCTTTGAGCGCGAAGTTGTCAAGACAGGACAGTACCGCGACCATCAAATCGGTGAGGTTGTGGATCGCTGTTTCGTTATGTTTGTGACCCGATTCAACAAGGGCCGTCCGCGCGGCCTTCCGGGTGATATGCACGTCTATGTTTGCGAATCTCGATATAATGAGGAAAATTTCCGGTTCAACAAGATCAAAACGTGGGCAAGCTGTGTTCCGGACGAAGTGAGAGACCGTGACTACGAAATGGACCTTTTCGATACCCCTCGTCCAATGAGAAAAGTGCCCAGTCCAATCAAGCATCTCTTGCGTGAGGATGCGAAAACCTCGGATGAGCTTCCACGTCCAACTTGGGGCAGTCCAAACGCGCCACCGATCGTTGGCGCTGTGCACCGTCGACCCCCGGAATTGCATGTGAGTACTCCATTCATTCAATTAATTCAACCTCCTCCCCGTGATGATCAACACTAAGACGCGCTCTTAGGAGACGCCGCCCCCCGAGTCTGTTCCGCTGAATCCCACTGCTCCTTCTGAGGGCAAGTCAGATCCGACCCGTCACGCTTCAATGATTTCGCAGGGCAGGGACACGCATGGAGACCAGGTTTCAGGCATTGCTTCGTATGGTGGTGTACTTGGGCCGGCATCACCCAGTCACTACCATGTACAGACAGTGAATACCCAGCCAAGCACGCCTCAGGCAGGGGCGCACCCCCCGCATCAAACGCCAGTACCACTTCCGCAGATACCAGCGCCGGCAACCTCGGCGCGCCCTATCCAGTACACAGCGCCGCATCAACCTGGATTTGCCCCGGGCTATGTAGGGGGGTTCTCTCAGTCTCCGGCTGCCATGCGCCATCCGCAAGTCGGAAATACCAGTACGCCAGGGTACAATGCATCTCACGGCTTGCGGAATATGGCTACTCAATCCCAGGCAGGTCATATTAACAATGCTTATAACCCTCCACGCCCACCAGAGGTTTACACACTGCCCGACAGCACAAACGAGGCCTTGCCAACCCAGATACGCACCCAGCTTCAACATGATAACGCAGGAAGAGTGCTTTTCTTTACTGCGCCGCCCTCAGATCGCTCTCCGCACCAACTCCCTCCTGAGAACAGCGGCCTGGGGCATAGCTTACGATATTTTGCGGGCCGTGAGGAATGGCAAATGCAGAGAGACACAAAGCGAAAAGCACGCGATCAAATATCTTCGCAGGGCGCTTCAAAGCGTGCCGGGTCAAGTCTTGACATAACAGATGGGCTTGTTGCTGCGGATGCAAGAGGGGCTCTAAACCACTGGTTCAGCCAGATCGGCCAAGACACAGAGAAATGGAAGCAAGAGACCGGTCTTAGCCATTGATTTCCAGTTCATTACGTTTCTTCAATGGTACTCGCTGAAACCATGTATTAGATATAGTGAAATATGCTTTATGGATTGGGTAGTGTCCGACTTGCAGGATTTTATTGGACAAATTGTTTCTTTCCTCAAGACGGCGTTCATTGTGAACAAGGAAGTCAACCAACCAGCTTTGCTGATGCAAAAATACCTGTCACAAAATCTGTGTTTTTCCCTCTCATGGTAAACTTGTTGTTCGCGCGTGTGTGTACGACCTGTCTTGCTATTGTTGTCGCCTAAGCATGTTCTGCAGCCTCACCCTCACGAAATCTCCCCTCGCCGAACTTATACATGAGGCCCTCGTAGACAGTCCACTGTGTGGCATTTACGACGAAGGCTCTGATACTACACACTGTGAGGCCTCGAAAGAAAGGTCTCATGCCACCTTCGCGAAACATGTTCCTGGCTATCAGCTGAGCGCCTTTTCGTGCCAATTGCATCCTCTGTGGAGCCATGTCGTGGCGTTGTATTGGCCCTTGCGTTTGAAGTCTGGTCTTGATAACATCAAGTGGAAATACACTTGTCCAGGTAACGATTCCTGCCAGACCACCACAGAGCATCACTCGTGGAGCATCATCTTTGATGGAAGGTCGTTTCTTCTGCCCGTCCGGCATTGTCCAATTTCGAATTGCGAACTCATAGGACCAGAAATAGAATCCGTATCCGATACTGTCTCGCAGTGCTGTCACGAGTCCCCCAAAGTAGAGGCCTCTAATTCCTTCTTTGCGCCAGATGTCTGTCGCAATACTGAGGCTAGATGTTGGTACCAGGTGCACCATTTGAGCCCTGCATTTGACCAACTCTGTTGGCGCACTGACTATCCATGTCGCAAGGCCGCCAACCGCTCCAGCCACCCAATTTATAGCAAGACTTTGTTCAGACCCCAAGGCACGGTTGAGGGCCTTTTCTGTGCGATTGTACGACACAAATAGGATGGCATTCAGTGCACCGTAACCGAAAAGTGGTGCTGTAGCACCAGCGAGTAGCGACTTGTAACTTTGGAAGGTAATCGTGGTTTTGCTTGTATGCTGGGTGGTTTGTTGGCGAAGTTTCACGATGTCAAGGGGGTTGCCAACTATAATCCCTACAGCGCCGCTCGCATAACCGGCCCAGAAGTCGGTGGACATAGCCGGCAAGATCTTGTTACAAAATAGCCTGCATCAAACTTGATTTTTTGCTTTCGGTTGCAAAGGAGTGTAGTAAAGCAGAATTCTCTGTTCAGGGCATTCAAGGACTTGAACCGCACCAGAATGTTATTGTAGTTGTCGCGTTTGCGTATCAAGCTTTATTTAACTATTAATAACTACCTGCCTACCTACCTACTAGTTAGAGCGTCCTCTTGAGCAACCGAGGCATTCTTCCTGAGCAGCCGTCAGCTGACACCGCGACACCGGGTCCCACAGGCTGCGGCGCGCTACGCGTCTTCTTTCACAACATACACGCCGTTCAAGTACGCTTGCTACGACGAAGCACATAACAGCCATCCTCTGTCATTGAAATATGTGAGCTCAAAATAGATACTGTCTTTTATAACTGCTGAACCCAAGTATAGGGGTGTTTTTACACCAAAAGACACAACCGCGCCGGCGCAATACCAGCGAACGCGTGGCGTTGGTCAACTACATAAACCATTTAAATGCCCGGGGTCAGCCTCTCATACGGCATTCACAGAGAGGTCGTCACGCAAGCGAAAGCGAATTGACTACAGAGGCACCGATGTCAATGCCGATGATGACAAGGCGTATACAAACGAGGCCAGACTGGCACTGGCAACGCGGGATGCCAATCGGTTTCCCGTTTTTGAAGTCAAGGACAAATCAACAGTATTTCGCAAGGCTTTTTGCGTTCCTCTTAAGGACAAATCCAGCGCCCATTACAGTCCAAACAGGCCTCCACCAACACTCGGTCTGAGACGCGGGGCGGTATTTGTCGCAAAGCCTTTGCATGACCCAAGCGGAGAATTTGCCATCGTACTGTACGACCCAACTATTGATGACCGGCCGAACGGAGCTGAACGACTATCATCGGCGGACAGAAATCAGGAGCTTAGAAACTCTCAAAAATCTGACCCCCCTCTTATCCACAAAAGCTTGGCTGAAATTTTGGGAATCAAGAAAACGGTTGAGAACGAACATCCACGTGTTCCGGTCGTTCTTGATCCCAAACTAGCTGGAGTTTTGCGTCCTCATCAAGTTGAGGGTGTCAAATTCATGTATCGCTGCGTTGCTGGTCTGATTGATGAGAAGGCAAACGGGTGCATTATGGCAGACGAGATGGGTCTCGGCAAGACTTTGCAATGCATCACACTTTTGTGGACATTGCTAAAGCAATCACCCGACGCTGGAAAACCAACAATTCAGAAAGCGATCGTCGTTTGCCCTGCAAGTCTGGTGAAAAACTGGGCTAATGAATTGACAAAGTGGCTCGGTGCTAATGCCATCAATCCCTTCGCAATCGATGGGAAATCCTCAAAGGAGGAACTGACGCGTCAACTCCGACAGTGGGCTATTGCTTCGGGCCGGTCTGTCACACGACCCGTGATCATCGTATCGTATGAAACATTGCGGTTGAATGTGGAAGAACTCAAGCATACGAAAATTGGTCTGCTTTTCTGTGATGAAGGCCACCGCCTCAAAAACGGAGATAGCAACACATTCAACGCACTCAATAATTTGAATGTGTCGAGACGCGTCATTCTTACAGGCACTCCTATCCAAAACGACTTAACGGAATATTTCTCGCTAACCAGTTTCGCAAACCCGGATCTACTCGGCTCACGACTAGACTTCCGAAAGCGCTTCGAAATCCCTATCCTCAGAGGCCGCGATGCAGATGCTTCTGAGAAAGATAAAGAGCGTGGCGATGCGTGTACCTCGGAGCTACTCGCAATCGTCAATAAGTTTCTCATCCGCAGAACAAACGACATTTTGTCCAAGTATTTGCCTGTCAAGTACGAGCACGTTGTCTTCTGCAATCTCGCACCATTTCAGTTGGATCTGTACAACTACTTTATCACCAGCCCTGACATCCAAGCCCTACTACGGGGGAAGGGAAGTCAGCCCTTGAAGGCGATCAACATGCTCAAGAAACTTTGCAATCACCCAGATCTTCTCAATTTAGGTGAGGACTTACCCGGCTCTGAAGACTGTTTCCCCAAGGATTACGTTCCCAAAGAAGCTCGTGGGCGAGACCGCGAAATCAAGCCATGGTACTCCGGAAAGATGCAAGTGCTAGATCGCATGCTGGCTCGCATTCGTCGGGACACAAACGACAAAATTGTTCTTATTAGCAATTATACATCGACATTAGATTTGTTCGAAAAGCTGTGTCGATCACGTCAATACGGATCCCTGCGCCTGGATGGCACGATGAACGTGAACAAACGTCAAAAACTTGTGGACCGCTTCAATGATCCTGAAGGTGATGAATTTGTATTCTTGCTGAGCAGCAAGGCAGGCGGCTGCGGTATCAATCTAATCGGTGCAAATCGACTGATCCTCTTCGATCCGGACTGGAACCCAGCCGCAGATCAACAGGCTCTCGCACGTGTGTGGCGTGACGGCCAGAAAAAGGATTGCTTTGTCTACCGCTTCATTGCGACTGGCACTATTGAAGAGAAGATTTTCCAACGCCAATCGCACAAACAAAGCCTTTCGTCATGCGTGGTGGACTCTGCAGAGGACGTTCAGCGCCATTTCTCCCTTGATGGCCTCAGGGAGCTCTTTCAGTACCGATCCAACACAAGAAGTGACACGCACGATACATTCAAGTGCAGGAGATGCCGACCAGACGGGAATCAATATATCAAAGCCCCAGCACTTCTGTACGGTGACACAAGCACCTGGAACCATTTTACGAATGATGGCCTAAAGCCTATTCAAGATTTATTGCTGAGGCAGGAACACGGAGAGCGTGATGTATCTGCCGTATTTCAGTACATATCGCACTAGGGTCTCCCCTGGGATGATCTCCGCCGGCTTTTACGCGAGACTCGATATCATCGATCAATTTATTTTTCAGCCGAAACCCCCGAAAGTTTACAATTGGTGCAGCGTCGAATTGCTACAATGTAGAGTACGAGCTTCTTGTACATTATTGATGGGGCAGCCGTTTTCCTCTGGCTCCCTATGCTTTTGTTGGTTCTAGCTTTCTATTTGCAATTCATGGCGAGTCATGACAATCATGTCCGTTTCTCTCCCGCTGCCCCTTGAACATTCGAAGTAGTGCGGCACAAAAATTCAGGTGAGAACCAGAAGACTGTATGAATTGATTGTTCTTGTTCTACTCGAGGGCATCCAATGTCTGCTGCAGAGACGAGTTTCAGCGTCTCAGCAACTAATTAGCATTTGTCCGCGGCCCATTTTTGAGCAGCCATGCTACATCATTGTGGTCAGCCAGATGATAACGTTATTGCGAGTGTGTGTAATCGAGCTGGGCTATTGGACGTGAGAGGCGAAATAGCTGGCTGGTCCTTACAGGTCACCAAAGCTACACTGGTGCATCGCGCAGCCAGCCATGGCAGTGAGGAACTCGGTTGATCTATTTAGCGTTAGCGATTATACCACATTGCTTTCTATCTATCCTTGCTGTGGCATTGTATACGGACGGCATGGGAACATACATACCCGCAGAGACATTTAAAGTCGTCCTCAGAGCGACAGCCTGAATTGGGGGCGTTTTGGTGGACGCACGGCTTAGCACACTCCGGCAGTCCATCCAAATGATCCTGTGCTGCCACAGCTACAGTGAGTAGTGCGAGGGCGAATTTATTAAGTTGCATTTCGGGCGGTTCGTGGGGGTGATGGTGAACAGTTTAGGTTGAGCCTGCTTGTAGTCAATACGAGCTGCTCCTGGCCGAGCATAGGGTCTTAAATAATTATTTATACGTAACATATCTTGTTGAACTAGTGTATGGCCATATCTATGATTCAACCTTGGTGCACGTATTACCAACCCCGACACTAGCTGCTCCGTCAAGCCCGTGTTTTGCAAACATCGACTCAGCTGCCGTGGATTTAGGTTACGCGACATGAGACAGAACAGGTGATAAGAAATACTATGATCATCGATTATTTTGTAGTATTTTACTAGTCTGTAAGAATTCGCCAGTCTTTGCTAATTTATTCGTATAAGCCCCGGGGCAGCTGTGAGGGTAGGGCATGGTGTCTGAGAGCTTCAGCAGCAAATCGGGGGCAGGAATCAACAGACGAGTTTGCAATATCACTAATATCTCTCTCATTTGAACATAGACTTATTCGATGCGGCAGCGGTATCTTAATTAGTGGTGATCCGACTATGAACAGAACATGTACTCTCCCCAAGTTAACCCTCCCCCCGATGCATCGTTCGAGCTCGCAGTTTGCTGTCATACAGAGGTAACACTTGAAGATTGCTCGATCTTGGGTGGTATTTGTTTCACTGGCGGGTGCGAAGCACCTGACTCTGTGACGTAGTTGGTATATTATTCGGGTCTTTGGCATGGATGGGCGGGGGGGGAACCATGCTTGTCGTTGTGACTTAGACCGACAGTCAGACAATTTTGGTTGAGTAGCGTGGACTATTTTCTGGGTTAGTGTTACTACTATATCTAGCTTGCGCCTTTTGCATTCATCCCGATTCTCTGGGGTGTATTTGACCGGGGCAGTGGTCATATCTTACCTGCAAACAACATTGTAAGAGCTCGATTTCCTTACTTGACGGCTGGTGGGAATGGCTTCGTGGTCGTATGTGTATTTTTGATCCCGATTTCGGATTTTATATTGATGGTGGCATGTGATTTGCCGACTTCGCCGTGCCATGTCTGTGTTTGGTATTCGGGTCGCGGTGCGTTGTAATGCAGGTTTGACGATTTCTGTTCAATCTTTTGCAGTGTCACTCTTGTACTTTTGCAACTAAGCTGGTATTTTGTTCGTTTTTGTCAGTCCGTTCGTTCGCATTTCGCCCTCTGTGCGTGCTGTGGTTGGCGACAATGTACGACGTAGTTTTGGGACAGAATCGTTCTCCAACCGCGATATACGATACTATATACAGTGCCACTTTAGTTTTGCATTACGCTTACTTGTTGGTGTGGTCTTTCATACATGGTCAGTTGGGTGTTTCATCGTTCCTTTTGTGTTCTGTGCATCTCTGGTGTGATTTCGCACATGCGTATTGATTGGTCGAGCGTGATGCACAGCAACCATCGTCGAACAAGACAACCCCGACAATTCTGTGAACAGCCACTATACAGAAGGGCACACCCAAAAAGAGTCCAAGAAAGAGAAGGCATTATCAGCGTGTTCACCGACACCGACAATGGTGCCCGACAAATCACGCAACATAGAGTACAGGGTACGCAGGTTAGAGAAAGCTACCCCACTATGCGAACACACCCACGCCAAGCCCGGTTTTTTTTCCTACCTCATGGTAACCGAGAGAACCCAGAGTTACCTCGAGTTATTATTCCCAGACACACCACCACCAGACCAACCTTCACTTCGAGTTATTTGAGCGACACGCAACCTTCTACTACTATCGGCGTATACCGTGGTGCCACCCAAAGCACAGCCAAAATGCCAGAAAGAGACGTTGACGTTCTGGACGAATTTATCTCGAGCTATCTCCAACGACTCACGACGGAGTTGTCAGAGGACCTGGACAGAGTCCGCAATGCAGATGACTTCAGGGCAGACTCTGTGCCATTTCTAGTACATGCGCTGGTACAAGGCAATTATCAATTCAGCAGAGACGACAAGGAGCGAATTGTCCAGGCTAGCGAAGAGCAGAAGAAGGAGCAGAAGAACATGAGATGAACCGAGCAGAGCATGACCACTCATTGCTGGCAGAAAACGGCAAGTGGAAAAAAACAGATTCGATGTGGGATACGAAGCCTGAGAATACGTGTGATGTACCACGACGGTACGCAGCAGGCACCGTCAAGCCACCATCAGAAGCCGGCCGGACGTGGGGTAGAGTCAACGACATCAACTCATCTACCAAAAATGCCCCTCGAGATGGTTGGTACGTCTACGTGCGCGTAGACGTAACGTCAATGTGGAATGAACGACTGAATGAGCATCAAACTACGCCCGGGTGACATAATATTGCCACAGCAGAGAACCACACCGGGGGCGACCTAATAGGCTCGGAGGCTCACGGGTGTCGGATCTATTTGACGAGCGCAGCAAAAGACAGGAGTAGTAGCACACCAGGATGAATGAAACAACATTAATCCATAGTAAAATCCATCATTGTTTGGGTATCGTTCGAGAAGAGACTCTACATGGGTATAGTATTCATAGGGCTAGAACGTAGCAAAGAGGTCCGGAAGAGCCAAGAGGAAAAGCAAAAGAGGCAGCGGTGTCGATAGCCCGAGCCTTGATAAGAGGAAGTAGAGCCACTTGCCGCTGGCGAAAAGCAAGACCCCAAGCAAAAGAGCCTAGCTGCCGGGAGCAAGTTCTTTCCGGACTGCCCAGCCCTTGACCGCAAGGGCAGTAATTTCCCAGGACATAAGGGTACCCACCAATCCCATAGTAAGTGTGTATAGAAACATGGCATCCAGGTTGTAATGAATCATACCATTGATAGTGTCTGTACTCTGCTAGGTGGGTTAGCATACAGCAATACCAGCACGAGAATGGTAAACCCACACTAGCCATGAAAATGATTCCACCAGCAATGAGACCAAATGAGGTCAGAAGCTCAGTAGGTGGGCGAGATGGAAACACAGACTTTGGTGGCCTCAGATATAGTAGCACATACGTGAGACCACGCGATACAGATGCCCAAAGTAGTAAAGTTCCCCATTGCTGATGAACCATACTTGCTGTCATCGTTGTCTGATGATGGGAACTCATCATGATGCCGAGGAGAAGAATGACCAAGGCAGGAATTGGGTTCAACGAGAACTCACACGTCTCAGGAACCTGGATATGCTCCCGCTCCTCGTCAGAGTCAAAACGAGCAGGTACGATACTGCTGGTCGTATTGAGCAAGTCACGAATGTAGGTTGACTCAATCAGCATACCGCACTGCGTAATGATTAGCGTCCTATAAAATGCAAACCAGAAAGTCAATTGACTCACCAGACCCCCCCCAATGAACAACACCGTGATTGCCAGGTGCTCGAGATCCTGGGCGGTCCATTCACCACCCCATCCACCCAGGTGCTCCAGGAAGATATTTGTTGATCCATAGAAAAGAATGAGAGAGCTCTCTACAAACTCAGCAGAAGGGCAGAAGCTCTGGTCATAGGTCTTTGGCCGCAGATTCCAAGCCCAGCCCAGCTCAGCGAAGCTGCCAGACCATCGGCCGAGGTTGAATAGTCCAAGCCAAAAGAAGACGCCACCTTTGATCCAGTGTGCAAGCCCCCCAAAGATTGCGTTTCCTTCCTGTAAATCAAATGAATCCATTAGAATAAGCGCAGCAAAGCGGAATCGACCAAAAAAATTATCAGACTCACGAAAAAGCGAGCAAATGTAACAATGCCGGTAGTCAACGCGACAAAGCCAAACGGTAAAATGACGCGATCTACTACTCTGCACCATAGCTGAACAAACTTCCAGACGCTGTGGGATACAATACGTGTCATCTTGACTATGGGAGGTTTTATTGGGAAGGCAGTAGCTGAAAGTGGCAGATGCTCGAACTCGTCATTGTCTTCGCCGTGCTCCTTGGAGTTTTCGCTTTGAAATCTGGTATCGTCTGCACATATGGTCGAAACGGAGCTGCTGCGAGCAGATGGTGACTGTGAGACAGTTCCATGGCCACTGTCATCGGGTGAGCAGCCCTGCTGGCGATAGTAATTGGCTTGGGTGTTCTGAGCAGGACCATGCCCAGACAGGGCCAGAAACGGGTGAAGTATCTGGTAGCTACCATTTAGAATCGAGATATTCCGGGCATTGACAAATCGGCCAGCAAAAGTGACAAAAACATGTGCAGAGCTGACCCATGTTATGATCCAGCCGATCTTATGGTGCGCATTGTTGGGGTAAAGGTCAGGTGTGCTCGCATCATACACTGCAGACAAAACGACACCCACTGCATTGACAGCCGCGAAGACGAACTGAACAGCCGGTGCATGTCTGGACTTTGCGATTGAAAGCATTACAGCTGAATAACATAGAATTAGCACAATTGCCGAAGGCTTGATAGGGATAGCAGAGTCAGGGACGAAGGCTTACCGATTGGCAAAACAAAAACCCAAGCTAGGACCATGATTGTGATGTGGGCATATATTATGTTGACATGATGGGTGTACGCAAAATAGGTGCTTGGGTAATCCGTTGCATTATGGGTTGAGGCCTTGTCGATTATGCTCCCGTGGCTTTGCAAGCCCTCTGTGCCGTCAGTATGAGCTAAAGCAGAGAGTGCAACTGCCAAAAAGTAGAAGGCAATGGGAAGACCGTGGCTAGCCGCCCTAGATTTTGTGCGAGACATTGAACGGCCAGGCAATGAGGCGGAAAGTGACAGAAGTTCTGGACACACGAGTGGGCAGAGATTGCATATGGCAGGGTGAGAGACGCGACAGAGAGATTCGTCGTGTGTAGTTTGCGATGTAGGTTTGGAAACGAAGCGTTGGGAGGGCGAAGCGTTTGGTGATAAATTCAAGAGAAATGGGGACGGATAAAAAGCAAGGGAGGGGGGAAATATCACTGCAGAGAGTACCAGATGCAAGGCGTCGAGGTAAGTAGGTATGCATGTGTATATATCTGACAGCGATGGCTTCATTAGTCGAATATGCCAGCTCCGATGCTTCCGACTGGGCTTGAAATGAGCGTTCTCATAATATAGAATAAGAGACATGTGAGGGCCCAATTTTTCTTTGCCTGGGGAAAAGCGATGTTGTCACCAAATCCAGAAGGAGCCTGAGCGAAGCTTGGGCGAAGCCCCGAGGACGCCGGAGCGGGGCAGTTGTAGACCAGATTGAAAAAAAGGCTGGCTAGTCAGAATGGAAAGGAACATGGTGAAACTTGGTAATGTGACTCGGCATACTGGTAGGGACTGGCGGTGCTGCTGTCCATCAACCGAACCAAGTACAGATACACACAAGTGACTAGCTAATTAGGCCGCAGAAGCAGGACAGCCTGTAATTAGTATCTCTCGATGAGCTGTACTAATGCGATATTGCTTCGCTATGAGCGGGCTATGGCCCCGTGGCCTGTCGTTCAATCGGGATACCCCCTGTGATTCTTACCAAGTCGCCTTTTCTGACCACCAATATCCGGCAGAGTGACTTGCCATGTTGCTGTCCATGTTAGCCGTAGTTGGTTTTCCACGGGAACGTTACGAAGGGTTCTGCGAGTTGTTCTCGGTACAGGTACTGATGCTGTCTTGTCGGAGTGGCTGGCTGTGTAGCCCGCCAACGGAGAATGTTGAGCTTGTGACCCCATAAGCGACCCGGACGATCCGGACAGACCGTGACCCGCGTGGCCCGCTCTGTGGCCAACACTTGATTTTTTAGGCGGAAATTCACTTTGTTGGTATTAAGACATAGTAAACTGAACTCCACGGTTGATATATTCTGAACTACGACAGAAAGTTTCTGCCCTTCCTGGTGGATTTGATTCCCCACCTCGCTGCAAGCTTTCATTGTCCATCCACAACTAGTGTTTTCGCGGAACGTGGTAAATCGGCCTGGTAGTAGTAATTACCGCCCCTTGTCCGGGAAAGCCTCGCAACGGCATCCCATTTAATCGTGAATGTATCAAGCCGCCCATAGAGGACCGCCAGTGTGTCACGACGCTTGAGATATGCAGTCACAGTTATTGGCAATGCGTAGGGCGATTTCTGTTCATCACCACAGTTTCATGAACATGGTATTTAGCTGGTGTCGCGCTTTGTCGGAGCCGATGGATGGTAACCATTTCCTGTTCCGGCTCGGCACCTTCGGGGGGCGTGACGTGTGCCATTCTCTTGAGCATCACCGGATCACCAGGTATGCATTATTAAACCCAATATTTGGTGGTGATTTATGACTCGAACTCCAAGGCTCCTCACTCGGCAGCATTGCTGAAGGTCCCATAGCACGCTCCGGATCTAGCCTTGTTCCATCTACTCACGACAGAGGGAGTTGTCACGTAAGTTGGGGTAGTTATCCAGACGGGTTTATTGAAGAGCTCGATAGTGAGAAGCTTGGCCATCAAGAGGGTCCCTTGCCTAGACCACCATCTTTTGCAAGAAAGCGCCACTACAGGAGTTTATCTGTAGATTGTCTCGTTTTTAACGTGGGGAGAAACCGATCCATAAGAAACTAAAGAGCTGCCTGGCCAGTCAGCACCCACAAGTTGCCATCACGATCATCTTCCGCTCTTGCTGCCCTCCCTTCCTGTTCCAATTTCCTTAATATCTGCAAGACACCAGCGCAAGCTGCAGGGTGTAAGTCCTCGTGCACCTCTTTATAAACCTCCTTCACAATATCCATTCCAGTCCAGCTTCGGTTGCCATCTGCCTTGCCGCACCTCATGACCTGGACTACCTGTTCCTCCCTGTGTTTGCGATGGTTGATGTATTCGGAGATCTTTTGGAGGCCATCGTTAATGAGTTCGCCGTGACCAGGATATGCTCTACCGTGAAATAGCGTCTTCATCTTGTGTAGACTGTTGATATACATCGCCATGTCTTCAAACACAGCCGTGCCTTCACCAAGCACATTATCAGCTGTGAACATAGCGTTCTCTTCTGCCAAGGTAAAGACTAGGTGGTCTGCTGTGTGGCCAGGTGTATGATGTGCTGTCAGCGTAGCGCCTTCTGTCCGAAAAGTTTGGCCATCAACGATCGCAGTCTGCCCATCTTCCGGGTGGAACTTATAGACGACGGCCTGCGGAGAAACCCTGCGGAGATCCTCAATGCCGCCGACATGGTCATGATGCCAGTGTGAAAGCAATAGAGTATCGACAGTGGCACCTTCCGCCTCGAGCACTTCCCTCAGAGAGACGGCCCACGCCGGCCTTCCCTCTCCGGAGTCTAATAATATGCGGCGCTTTCCAGAGCCAAGTAGATACGTGTTCGTTCCCTGCAGTGTGAATTTGCCAGGGTTGCCGCCAAGAATTCGAATACACACTGGACTGAGCCGTTTCACGTCGGGGAGTGGAGTGAGATTCATTGTTGCTCGAGTTCGAGTCTTTGATGACAGTTGACAGGAGGCTTTCAATATCGTTCCTATGCTAGACTGTGATAGTCAATTGGAAATGACGAGGGGAAGAGCTCTGCTGTGTTGAGGTGTAAAAGGTCGTAAGAATGGCATTATCATGAGGAGTCAATGTGGAGGTTGCTGAATAAAACACCGTTCTGCACAAAGCTAAGACCTCGGCTGTGCACTGACTGAATGGCAGCAGTTTGTAGCGTTGGAGGAGGTCCACGTGCGGGGGTTGTTTTCTGCGATACCTATAATAAACCGTTAAAAATTATGCATGTTTTTAGGTAGGTATTAAAAAGACGTTATTAGTAATATATAAGAAGCTATCTATAGTATAATTAAAATTATAAAATAGTACTAATATACTTTAAAATACTTAATACCTTAATATAAAATAATATTAATAATATTTCTATACTAGTGTGAAGGAGTCGGGCTCGAGCCCACTCCGGCTAGACTTGGCCTGAGGCCACCACGGGCGCGCCCCTGGCGCGCCCCCTTTATGTACCATAGCAGATGGACAGACTAGCTTTTCCTCCTCTCTTACTCCGTAAGAGAGTTAATACTATTGTGACGCCTATCTGCAGATGCCCTAGGGCCAGTCCTTAACAACTAGGGAGTTCTATATAGGTTAGTATATAGATTACTAGTTTAAATCTAGCTAAAAGTACCTTAACTAATTTTTCTAAAAAGTTAAATAATATAGCCTACCCTTATAACTAACTTATAAAGAACTATAAGTAAGATAACTATAAAGTAGGGCCTTTATAGCGTAGTGGTTCTATACTAGGGAGTTCTATATAGGTTAGTATATAGATTGCTAGTTTAAATCTAGCTAGAGGCACCTTAAACAATTTTTCTAAAAGTTAAGTAGTATATTCTACTATATAACTAACTTATAAGGGAATATAAGTAAGGTAACTATAGAGTTAGCTAGGGTAAAAGCTAGAAGGTAATATATACTAACTACTATACTACCTTAGCCTTTAATTAATAGAATAAAGCTAAAAACTATATATATACTATAATATATACCTATAGATAGGTACTATAATAAGGGACTATTCTACTACTTAGATATATATATAGAGATAAGTAATTAATATACTTAGATAGTTAATAAATAATAGAAAATATAGAGTAATATAGATTAAGGTAATAGCCTAGAAACCTACTTACTAAGAATATACTAAATACTATTAACTACTACTAGGAATTATTATATAATAGTAGATTAGTATATAGAAAAGGTTAGTTTTTACCTAGGTAGCCTAGGAACTATACCTAGTATAGTAAGGTACTAGTATAAGTTTACTACTATAGTTTTTCTAGTACTTATAAGTTTATTAAAGTACTAGAAGGACTATAAGGTCTAATTAGGGTAATTTAATAAATAACTATAAAGTAGGTTTAAGGTAAAAAGTTAAAAGTATATACTAACTACTATATTACTTAGCTTCTTAATAAATAAAATAAAGCTAAAAACTATATATATATTTTAGTATATATTCTTAGCCTCTATAGTATAGTAGTTCTATAGTATAGAGTTCTATATAGGTTAGTATATAGATTACTAGTTTAAATCTAGTTAAAGGCACCTTAAACGATTTTTCTAAAAGTTAAGTAATATAGCCTAGCTTTATAACTAACTTATAAGGGAATATAGGTAAGGTAACTATAGTAGGCTAAGATAAAAAGCTAGAAGGTAATATATACTAATTACTATACTACCCTAGCCTTTAATTAATAGAATAAGGCTAAAAACTATATATATATTATAATATATACTTTATAAAAGGTATTAATAGTAAAGAAGTATTCTATTATTTAGATATATATATAGATAATAAGTAAATTAATATATCTAAATAGTTAATAATTAATAAAAGATATAGAAAGATATATATTAAAGTAGTAGCTTAGAAATCTACTTATTAAGAATACTAAATACTATTAAACCTATTAAGAATTATTATATAATAGTAGATTAATATATAAAAAAGGCTAGTTTTTATCTAGATAATCTTAGGTTTATACTTAATATAGTAAGGTATTAGTATAAAAGGGGTTTACTATTATAGTTTTTCTAGTATTTATAAGTTTATTAAGATACTAAAAGGACTATAATAATAATAATAATAATAATAATAATAATAATAATAATAATAATAATAATAATAATTTTTATATACTAATTAAGCTAAATAACCTATTTAATACCTTTATTAATTATAAAATAAGGAAAAACTAAAGTATTTAAAAGAAAACCTTATTTATATTTTATAGAATTTATTATTATTATTATTATTATATTATATTAATTAGACTAGCTAGTCTATTTAATACCTTTATAGCTTATAAGATAGGGAAAAAACTAGAGTACCTAGAGAAAAAACCCTAGCTCTAGTATAGGTTTAGTATAATCCTAGAGTAATTCCTAGTAAGGAGTAGTATACTCCTTATCTTAGTAAAAGATAATAATAATAAGTATAAATATATAAAACTTAATAGGCTAATAAACCTACCTATCCTTTACTTAACCCCCTTAACCTCCTCCCCTTATAGCCTTATCTTAGCCTAGGCTAGGCACTATATATAGTTAAGGTCCCTCTTAGATCCTAATCCCTAGATACTTTAAAGTATAAGTAGGTATAGTAATAGCTATAAAGGCTATAATACCTACCTTTATTATTCTTCTCTTTAGCTTTTATAGTTTATTTTCTATATTATCTATACTAAATAAGTAAGAACCTTACCCCTTATAAGGCCTTACTTATATTAAGACTAGTTAGGATAGCTTTATTACTTTCTTACTTCTATATACTTTTATACTTATCTTTACTTCTTACTTTATAATTACTTTATTTATATCTTTATACCTCTTTAAAGCCTTTAAATTAATATTAGCCTTTATATAGTTTATTATATTTACTATATTAGGTAGAGAAGGAGCTATAGCTATATATATTTAATTATTATTATTTTAGCCTATTACTTAGCTAGCTAGCTTATTTACTATAATATTTAAAAAGCCTTAAATTTTTTAATTTTTACTTTTTTCTTTTCTTTTTTAATAATATATAATTATATATCTTTTTTACTTTTAATATATATATTATACCCTATTATTACCCTTACCTTTATTTAGGCTAAGCTATTCTTATTCTAGCTATTAAACTATATTAACTCTTCTTTTTATTAGTTTTTTATTACTATTACTACTATACTTATATACTCCCTTCCTTCTTATCCTTATATACCTCCCTAGGCTATACCTAAGCTACTCTTAGCCTTATCTTAATATTATTAATACTTCTTAGAAAAATAAAAATTTTTAACTATTATTATTACTACTACTATAATAAGTTACCTTATCCCTAATATATACTTAGCCTTATCTTATTCTTAACCTTATTAGTTTAATATTATTATTATTATTATTAATAATATAAATAACTTTTACCTATTTATTATTTACCCTTATTCTAATATTAATCTAACTAATTACCTTCTTTACTTCTTTACTACCCTACTAAGTACCTATACTAGGTTATTACTATAAGTAAACTAATATTAGTCTTTTATAACTAGTACCTTAAGTATATAGGTAATACTAATACTATTATTTACTTTAAGTAGGCTAGTAAGTATTTTAATACTATACTAAGGTAGCCCCTATCCTAATCTAGTTTTAGATTTTAATATATCTATATATACTAAGTATATAAAAAATAATAAAGTTTATATATTAATAAGTCTTTTTAATTCTAATTTAAAGCCTAACTAAGTCTAATCTTAGTTAATTTATTAATAACTTATTAATAATATTAAGCTTATAACTACTATTACTTAAAATTAGCTTTTAGCTTATATTAAAAAAAGCCTAGCCTTAAGCCTAAGTAATATTAAGTTTAGCTATTTAATAGTAGCTATTTACTATACTTATAACTAAGCTAATAATATAAATACTAAAGGTAATACCTACTATATTTAAAGTATAGCTAGTTTAGTTTAGGTTATAATTATACTAGCCTTTACTAATTATAACCTAATCTTAGCTATAACTATTTATATTAATATTAAGGTATTAGTATACCTAGACTAAGCTAGGGTTAAGGTAGCTTATTAGCTAGCCTAGTAGTAATATACCTTAGCTAGCTTACTCTAGGTTATTATAATTACTTTAGAGGCCTAGGGGGTAACTATACTTAAGCCTAGGCTAGATAAAGGCCTAGACTTAGCTACCTTAACTAAGGGGGAGGAGGGTAAAGAGAAGGAGGAGGAGTAAGAAGAGAAGGAGGTAGGAAGGGGTAGTACTAGGCCTAGCCTAGGCTATACCTATTTAAAATTATTTTTAGTTTTCTATATATTTTTTAGCCTATTAAAAGTAATAAAGTTAGGGTAGTATTAGGCCTAGCTTAGGCTATACTTATTTTTTTAAATCTTTTATTTTATACCTAAGAAAAGGGGTAAAGTTAGGCTAGTATTAAGTCTAGGCTATATTAGGGTAGGAGTAGGCTAATAGCCTAATTTATTAAATTTTAAAATTAAAAGTTAATTACTTCTTATACTTATATTAAACTAGTACTAGTATATACCTAGTCTATTCCTATCTTACTATATACCTATATTACTATTATATTATACCTAACCTAACCTTAGTTTAGTATTAACCTAGGTAAGGTTTAAATATATATTAGTTAACTTTATAAGTATAACTACTTAGTAATAGTTATTAAATCCCTTAGGTAGTTTAGTATTAATAGTATATCTTACCTATTTTAAAGCTACCCCTTTAGTAACCTAGGCTTAGTCTAGTATATTATATAACTTAGTAAGATATAGTAGATATTTTCTAGCCTTTCTTTATAATAATATAGGCCTAATTTATAACTAGGAATATATTATTTATAAAGAAAGGTATTAAGTCTAATTTTCTTTATATATATTTATATAATAATAAAACTAATATACCTAGGTATAAATAGGAATAAAATTACCTAAGTAAGGTACTAAAGCTATAGTAGCTTATAGGTAGAGTAGACTATAACCTATTTAGTATAGTATTATTTAGCTAACTTATCTACCTCCTACCTTACTATTAATTTATTTTATAACTACTTATTAAATATCTTCTAGTCCTACTTTAAGGCCCCTTTAGACTTACTTAGGAGGCTTTTATATAGGTTAGCTAATAGTAGTCTTATTTATTATTATAGTTATTATTACCTATATTACTACTATTACCTTAGCCTCTTTACTACTACTAGGACTACTCTAGCTACCTAGGTAGATATATACTAGAGCTAGGCTACTACCCTACTTACCTCCTACCTTATTAGTATCTAGTACTTCCTAGTTATTAAGTAGAGGTTAATTAGAGGGACCTTTAGAGCTTCTTTAATATAGTAAGTTAAGATAGCTTTAAATACCCTTATAACTAGTTATAGGTATTATACTTAGAGGTTATATAGAGTCTAGGCTAGACCTACTACCTTATCTTTCCCTAGT